TGTGTTCGTCATTTTGGTGAATTACTAGACATTGGCCAAAACTGAGTATTATTTTACTCCACCGTTTTTGAGCTCTTCTCATGTTGATCCAGGTTATGCATTTTACATTTTATTTATCTACTCTGACAGATATTCACACTGATTCTAGTCTTCTGTTAATTTTGCAACTATGATGAACATCCTGGACCTGGTGCACACGTGCAAGACCTTCTCCAGGAGACACACCTGAAAGCAGAGCTGCTACATCCACATTCGCCATTTTACTAGACACTGCTGGACTGTTCTTCACAATGGCGCAAGTTCACTCCCACCAGTGGGGTATGACTGCTCCCTATGCCCCAATATCCTTGCTAACACTTGATACTGTCAACTCTTACAGTTTGGCAACTTAGGGGAGCAAAACAGAATTTCATCTGATTACTACTGAGGTTTAATATCCTTTTCACATGACACTCAGTTTCTTCTTTGAGCTGCCTGGTTATCTATCCTTTGTCCATTTTTCTGTGAGGTTTTTGAGTTTTTTTAAGTACTCATTCATTATATAGACTGGCTGTTAATCCTTTGTTTATATGCTGTGATTTTATTTCTACCCATATAATTATCTTCTTTCAAACTTGTTGATGATTATCAGGCACCAGTATTTTTAAAAAGTAGCACAGGTGATTCTGATGTGGAAACAGATCTGAGAAGCAGTGCTGCTTAAACATTTCAAAAAAACCAATCTAAGTAGCAATAAAATGACAAAATTTACGGAATGAAAAATGGGACGTGGGGATCACACTGTACTTCCATGTGGCCTTATCTCATAATTAGCAGGTGATCACAATTACATAAGAGGTTAAAAAAAAAACCTCACTGTGTATTCATGTTACATTTCTTTAGTTTCTCTTCCAGCTCAGCGAGGTCTCGGAGATCTGCTCCAACAATGGCGTACCTCTTAGAATCCAGTATGTGTCCATCTGCAAATGCCAGAGAGATGATGATGTTAACAACAGTTCGTCAATAAGGGATTTTTGATAACAAAAGTTAATTAATAAGGGATTTTAATTTCCACAGATAGAGCTTTTTCAAAGTTAAAATAACCTTGTATTTCCTCATTATAAAAATGCATGCTCATTGTTAAAAATATCAGAATTATTTTAAAATTTATATTAGATAGGCAGAGGGTAAAAATGAACCAAAATCACAGCTTCCAAAGATAACAGAATTTTGGTATATAACATTTTTCCTGTGTGCTTAGGTTCATACACACTACAAGAACGCATGTTCTGTTTCTCTCTCCCCACCAAAGCATGAGCGTGCACACACACATACTCGTACACACACTTTCTGAACAAAGAAAAGAAAATGGGACTATCCAATACCTGTTTTGAAAGCTGTTTTCCCTTCCT